ACCAACCCATATGAGGTAAAAGGTAAACCTTCTCCCCGACGTATGATTTATGCTACTTACGACCATCCGCACTTATGACAACACACACACACACAACTCTAATTAGTCGACATACTTGTTAGGGAACAGTCGGTCTATTCACCCCCTCCCCCTCTCCCGCCCCCCCCTCTAAACACTCAAATGCAGCCCCAGAACACACACAGGGATCTTTCAATTCAAAGAAGACAGCGAACATAGTTATTCAGCATGAATTTGCCTTCCCTAAACCTTTCGTTCTTGTTGTAATTATTCTAACATCTGTCTGTCATTTCTCGTATTTTTGTTTTTAAAGTCATATCTCATTGAGCGGGCACGGATGTTCTTCTGTCTTCTGTTCTACCCTTCTATTTCAACGCAGACTTTGTTACAGTTTTTTCAGGGGCGCCGACAAAAATAAAACATGGAAAAGGGGGGGGGGGCCCGCTATAAATGTTTTAGGGGAGGGGCGGTTATATTGCAAAAGCCCCTTAGTGAAGTAAGTTTTACCCCACCAGGACATCACACAGAGCGATAAACACCCGTTGACACAAAGTGCTACCATGCGGATGAGGATCACACGTGAAGAGGCTCCCGGAAACACCCATTTAACCGTTATGTTATATAAGGGCTTCCCGCAGCAGCCAGCATGGAGTTCAAAATAAGGAAAAATTTGATCCGTCAAGGGGATCACTTTAGCTGCAAGTCCTTTACACTGCTCTGTAGGACGTTGCAGACTTAACTTCAGCAGTTTATGGTTATTTGTAATTTCACTGAGTAATTTTAGTAATTTGACAAGTTTTTCTAAACAGATGGCCCTGGATATCACCGTTGAAACTAACGCAAGACGTTCTGCTGCCAAGTTATCCGCAGATGAGATCAAACTCAGCACCTCAGAGTTAAAAAGCATGTTCGAAAAGCCGAAACTACAGAATCCTGTTAGTACGAAATGATAATAATAATAATAATAATAATAATAATAATAATAATAATTATTATTATTATTATAATAATAATAATACAACAATAATAATAACAATAGTAAAGTAAGAGTAAATGATATTTCTCGTGGATTTGTATCATAGTACGGCGTGTCGCAGGTCGACCCAGCCTAAAATTGGTACCAGGATGGCTGTCCTGTGGGAGTAAATACGGCTGGCGTAATGCTGATCACATTACTCATCTAGTGCCAAATGGTCTATACAAATACGGAGTGCTCTTTCCATATGCCCGATGCGCTTAAGGCGTGAAAAGAGATCTTTCTTAATTTTTGCCAACTAAATGACCCTTTTCTAAGACCTCATGTGTATTTAGCACATAGGGCTAGACCAATATTTAAAGACCAATAGGTAGCTGATATAGTCAGCATCATACCATCCGCATTTTCTTCCCATGATTTTATCTGGGATCCATTAAATTTTTAAATTTAACAGTCCAATTTTCAGCCCAGGTTATTGCGCATTTTTTCCCCCTTATCTCAACAATCAGTACAGGTACACTTTCGCTAGAGTTAAAACCCTTTGAGTATTATCCCTATTACATCTCTTTAAAATGTAGTTGAAAAATATATATATTTTCCATTGTTAGTTTCCTTGAAATCACATTTCTATACGTGTCTGAGACTATATGTTTGTCTGTCCACCAAACTGTTAAATACCGGTGTTAGTATCACAGGGGATGCGTCGGGTGCATTTAATGGCAATGACTAAGGACACGGCAGCGGTGGAGACCAAAAATGAAGTAGAAGACGAGATATTAAATACAGGATTTTAGTTCGACTCCTGTTTCCACTAGGCCTACGTATAGGGCAGTGGTAGATACCAAGATGAGGTAGAGAACGGGAGAATAAGACTTTTTTTTCACTGTCTCGGGCGAAGCCTGGCAGTTAAATCTAGTTATAAATCTAGTATCGGCTATTATTTTCGGTTAGCACGAATTTGTTTAACATGAACTACTGATTTTGCTTTCGGTCCCTTGTAATTCACGTTAACGATGTTTTACTCTGATATGAAATGTTTCAGCATATACTAACAAAAATCCCCGTGTGGGTTCCGGGGCCCTATTGTAGGTAAAAACAAACAGCCCTTACCATATAATGCATATACCAAAAGAGAAGAAGGACTTAGAGCAAGAGGTAGACCAAGAACAAAATGGAAAGATAATATAAGAGAAACTCTACAGCACCACGATGTGTCCATAGCTTAAAAGCAGCCAGAAGAGCACGAAGCAGGACCTTATAACTCCCACTAAACCCGAAGCGGTAAAAGAGGACGTAAAGAAGAAGAAGAAAAAGAAGAAGAAGAAGAAGAAGAAGACTAACAAAAAGAGAACTTCTATGCATAGTGGTTTGGGGGTGGGGTGGTCCCTTTGTAAATTTTTAGAGGAGGAAGTTGATGAAGGAGAGGGGGAGGGTGGTCTCCTCAGCCTACACGTTATTTAGGGAGCCCACATGTTCCAGCGCCCCTGAGTTTAGCAGAAGGTAAGTTTCATTTTCCCTTCTTCCGCAATGCCCGATGGTACACATGCACATTCTGCTATGCTTGAAAACACTTCTTTAGCACAGGGCAATCGAAGTAGGTAGTATCGTGCAAATTTGGGTACTATTTGAACCTTGCTGAACAAAACTAATTTTCGTACCATGCCCGATGTTTTGACTTGTAAAAAAAAAATTGTGCATCTGTATTTCGGCTATCCTCAAATAGCGGGCACAAAAGATGGCGGCCGCAAAATATCCTTATGAGCCTGAGTCACGTGTCAATTGCGCACTTCTGGCGACTTAATTTGCGGTTCTCCGGCGACTACCGCCACCACCAGGAGCTAAACTAGATGGCTAGGATTTACGAGCCAAGCTGCAGGAGATCCGGAAGCTGCTGCTCGTGAGTCCTAGCCATCTAGTTTAGCCCCAATCTACGCCGCTCACGCGGCGTGGGGGACTCTTGGCGGTGACGGTAGTCACCGGAAAACCGCTGGAAAACCGCAAATTAAGTCGCCCGTGTGGGTTCCGGGGCCCTATTGTAGGTAAAAACAAACAGCCCGTACCATATAATGCATATACCAAAATAGAAGAAGGACTTAGAGCAAGAGGTAGACCAAGAACAAGATGTGCCCGTTATTCAGAGGATAGCCTGTATTTCAAATGTTGGCATTGTACTGAACCCTTATTCCGGTGTTTGGGAGTCTATTGAAAATAATCGTGGCTCAATTGTGATGCAAATGTACGATTTGATGTGATCGTTGTAGTGAGTTTTTGCTTCAGTAAAGGTCATTGCCGGAGTATCCGTCCAGAAAACAAGAGAGATGGCTCTCTTTAATCTCCTTTGTTACATTTAACATTCCAGTGTATTTGATGCATAAGCTTTTCTGATTCGGCGTTACTTCGAAATAATTTTTGATATTTAGTTAGCACATTTATAATTGTTCCTTTTTCGTTTTTTTTTAAATTGCTGTTTTAATTTCTAGTATGAGCGAGCATTAAAATTTGAATGTTAGCTCAGATCGTGATGATTAACTACACAAACTGCTGTGTAACAAACTGAGAAACAAAATATGAAACAGCATTGATACAATATACAAAGCATTTCAGTTCTGGTCAAATATAATCTAAGAAATTTTTACCCTCACACACACGCGCGCGCGCGCACATACACACACAGAGACACACAAAGACGTCTTTACCTTTATAATTAAAAATGTTATACTTGGTGTGTTTTCACACTTTTTAAAAATAGGTTTAGGACTATTTCCCAACCAAATTTCGGCAGCCCTGCCCTAGCTCAACCTGTAGAAGTATCCTGCACGTGTGGCTGTCTGTTCTGCCCTGCGACTCCTCTAGTGAGACTCACTATGAGACTACCTAGCGTGGGAACATTCCTTCCGGGCCTGGTTTCTCTCTCTCCCTCCCTCCCCCTACCCACTTCCCTTCCCCGTTCTTGTCTGATCTTCTTCATCAAAATCATTACTTTAACTGTTGTACACCTACAGCTCACTTTAAGCGATTTCTTTGTGTACACCAACGTTTTGTCTCTGTTTTATGTTTAGGTTCTTAAATTGTACATGCCGTGAGTCGCCATGGTTTAGCGACTATTCTCTCGCCTGCGGATCCAAAGGTCGTGGATTCAGATCCTAACAGAGCCAGGCCGGATTTTTTTTTTCTTCAAAAATGACATTGGCTTTCCGGTCGACCCAGTTACATGGGTATCGGACATAATCATGGGAAGAAAAGGCGACCGGCGTGATGTTGACCGCATCACCCACCAAGTGCTGTTTGGTCTATAAAACAGAGGTTTAGTTTTATATGCCCAATACCCCCTAAAGGCGTGGAAAAGGGGCCTTTACTTACTTCATGTCATATTTAGGTTAATGTCAGTTTTAAAGTCAGCGTTCACGTTAATATTTCTGTCTATGTTTATGTCAGTGTTTATTTCAATCTTCTTATTTATGTCGATTGTTTTGTCAGTTTTTATGTAAGTTTTCGTGTCAGTCAGTATACATGACAAAGTTTATGTCAGCATTCACGAAAATGTTTATATATAAATAATAAGTTTTCATGTCAGTTTTTATGTCACTATTCATACTTGTGTCAGTGTCATTATCAGTTGTAAGCCAGTGTTCTTTTCAGTGTTCACGTTAGTCTTCCTGCCAGCGTTTATAAGATTGTTCATAGATTTCATGTCAGTATTCATGTCAGTGTTTGTGTTTGTGGCCATATCAATCTTCATGTTAATGGTCTTGTGTCAGTGTCAGTCTTCGCGGCAATGTGGATTTCAGTGTTTTCCGTTGTGGTTTCGTGGCCATTTTATGGGGAAAACAAAAACAGACCCAATGCCTGTCCAAAAGCATGTCGTCAGAATCGACGAATTGGGATCTTCCTTCAAAGTCGGAGTACATCTGCCTGAGAGACAAGGAACCAACAGTATGCATGCAAATTAGTTATCCATGAGAAACGTATGTGCACGCAATACTAATTTTCTGGAACAGGACTAGAGTCCAGAAGTGGACGAACAACCAGAGCTTCCCACCAGAGTTTACAGCCGCTAAACTCAAAGAAGAAGGTTCAAGTGTTCACGTTCATGTCGTTATTCATGTTAGTGTTCACGTCCTTGTTCACGTTAGCATTGACGTCAGTGTTCAGGTTAGCATTGACGTCAGTGTTCATGTTAGCATTGACGTCAGTGTTCATGTTAGCATTGACGTCAGTATTTTTGTTAGCATTCACGTCAGTGTTCATGTTAGCATTCACGTCAGTGTTCATGTTAGCATTGACGTCAGTGTTCCTGTTAGCATTCACGTCAGTGTTCATGTTAGCATTGACGTCAGTGTTCATGTTAGCATTCACGTCAGTGTTTATGTTAGCATTGACGTCAGTGTTCATGTTAGCATTCACGTCAGTGTTCATGTTAGCATTCACGTCAGTGTTCATGTTAGCATTCACGTCAGTTTTCAGGTTAGCATTCACGTCAGTGTTCATGTTAGCATTGACGTCAATGTTCATGTTAGCATTCACGTCAGTTTTCAGGTTAGCATTCACGTCAGTGTTCATGTTAGCATTGACGTCAATATGGTTCATTTTTAGCATTCACGTCAATGTGTTTTTATAGGTTAGAATCTTCACGTCAGTGTTCATGTTCGCATTTGACTGCAGTGTTTACAGGTTAGCATTGAACATAGGTATCATGGACATTACTGTCTTTGTGTCGTATTCTACCTGCAAGTTTGTGTTCACAGGCATCACACGCATTCACCTTTGGTATCTGTCCCCCGTTTCTTTTTTGACAAACGGGGGGGGGGGTATTGGGGGGGGTTAAATAGTCACATTTCACCATCTGTCGCATGACGTAAAGCGGCGTCCGTTATTTGTGTGCAAACGCGCGCACGACATTCATCACTTTTTCAGTTTTGCCGTCAGACGGCAAAGGAAGGAACCACACAACCACACTTTTGCCGACACACGTTTTCACATATAGGAATGGCTCCTAACACACCACACACACACACGTCGAAGTTCTTTAACCCACCACACACAACACACACACACTTATAGGGCTACCTCTTGCTTTTACATTAGATCTTTTCATGTGTGGGGTTTGTGTTGGTAGTTTTCTGACTATTCTAAACATTTGATCTTCAGTCTGTCGATGAATCGTGTTGTACCACAGATGACCTGATATTTTTACCACAGTCTTGTAGTCGGTCTTGTCTCACTGTGTATTCTTTATTAAGCTTCCGAAACCCGTTATGGGAAAGAATAGCCAGTTAGTTTAAGGAAGCCCCTGGGTAACTCAAGAACAACCACGACATACACGCAGTCTCTTATCAACAGAAGAAGTGAGAATTGATCAAAAATATCAGATTGCCACCGAAACTGGCATCCAGAAGATTACCATATTATGGACAGGACCAGATACCTCGTTATTATCCTCGCCTTCTTACTTCCTGCACAATTTTAGACTCGCTCCCACATGTTGTCAACAAAGATTTAAGATCTGGCCAATCGGCCATGTTGGTACTTGTGGCCCTCGACCTAGAAAACATACAGATCACATCCTTGTTAAGACTGTCCCCATATTCAACGCTTCTTTCATTTGACAAAAACATTGGCCAAAAGAGTCTTGTTGTGGAAGTCAAACTTTACGGGCCGCTTAGTGAATTACACAAGACAGTGACTAATTGTACAAGAGACTGGTTTTGCAGATATAGACAATTATTTCATGCTCTAAGAAAAGAAGAAGAATCTTTGGAATAGCCAGCACACTTGCCTGATGAGTAGGCTGTCATGTATAAATGGGAACCAGGAAATATAATGATTGCTTATGACGCCAGCCCTGATATTATATGTCATGGTCCCAGTTAGTACAGATGTATTCAGAACAGCCAGAATTAGGCATGGGTTTACAAGATTTTCTTTTATGGGTTTATTGTTAGTGACAAAAAGATGGCACTGGTAGCAAACAGTTAGAGAATAAAGTTTAAAAAAAAAAAAAGCAACAACTAGTTAGTTTAGTGGTGTAGATGGATAGATCGCTATGCCAGTAAGATCCGAAGGCCGCAGCTGTCCCAGGTACAGACGGAAACTGACTTTCTCTTGCATCCCCTTTTCAGTACTAACCCTCGCTCCCGGGTCGACCTAGCCTTAAATGTAGTAGGTTAGATATCTCGGAAGTAAACCGCAGAGTAGGACGTCAGTTTAATGCATTTTGCACGCTATCGCTAGCCGGATTTATGTAAAATATATAGGTCTAGTACTTTATGCCCACTTAATTTAAAAACGTGGAGAAGAGTCCTTCATTTTTACTGTACTGGCCCAGGAGAGGCCGTACAACGCACAGATCTCCATATATACGGGGATGATGCACTGATAGGCCGACACGTGGAACCTGACCAACTGGCAGTGTGTGTCATTCAACCCCACCATGACCGCCACACAAGCGACCAACACCCGGTAATATAAAGTGCCACCTTTCGGATAAGACCGCCCGGGTACAAATCCCAGAAACTCCGTTTAACCGTTAGGTTATATTAGGACCCCCGACTACAGCCGAGATGGGGCTTTAAAATAAAGAAAATTTGCGTCCCACATTGCAACGGGAAGCATTATGGTCAATTTAACCGGTACTTTCTTAATATCCTACCCAAAGCAGGGGAAATCCACAGGTCACAGGATAGTCTAATATTTCAGGGGGCGGTAGATAGGCTGACTGCAGTCGTGAGACCTAAGCTGTACTCTCTCGTGGGGAAAGTGAAGTTGAGGTTATAAGCCAGTTATAGATTGTTTGGGGTCGTGAAAAAGCATCATGAAGAAGAAGAAAACCCAGTCTTACCAAATAGCTTAAAGTCGTGGAGGTAGTAGTAGTAGTCATTTGGGTTAGGAGTATTACGAAAGACACCATTTAATAAACCGTCTGTTTTTTTTCCCTTAGGACGTCACGTCAAAATTTGACCATTCTGAGACAGTAATAGTAGTCTTCTTGGACGTATAGTTCTAAAGTGAGTAAATGGCAGATACCTCGTTCTTCTAGTAGTTTCTTCTTCTTCTTCTTCTTCCTTCTAGTCTTCTTCTTCTTCTTTCTCTCTCTTCTCTAGAAGAAGACTTCTTCTTCTTCTTTCTTCTCTTCTTCTTCTTCTTCTTCTTCTTCTTCTTTCTTCTTCTCTTCTAGGATCTTCTTCTTCTTCTTACTTCCTCTTCTTCTTCTTCTTTCTTCACATCCTCTTTTACGCTTGTGAAGTTCGAGGGAGATTGAAAGTTCTGTTTCAGCTCTTCTGGCCGCCTCGACGCATAGGCACAAAGCGGAGGCTGTTTGAGAGTTTAAGAAGAGGTTATTCATTCCATCCTTGTTTCTTAAGGAACCTACCGTGCTCTACGTACTCATTCCCAAGGTAAGGTATGAAAAAAAAAGCATTCGTAAGAAATAAACAAGAATTTCAGAAGAAGAAGAAGTATTGAAAAAAAAATGAAAAAAAGTTGAATGTCTTGTTGTCGTACAGAAAGAAGCAGGTGGGGTTGAAGAAAACTAATTATCTGTAATAGTAATAATATAATCTCAGTCCTTAATATTAACTCTTATAACAATAGCCTAACAGCCTTCTTCAGAAGAAGAAGAAAAGAAGCGTTAAGAATTGAAGAAAGAAGAAGAAGTAGTGTTTAGAGATAGACCATGAAGAAAAAAAAAGTAGCAAGATCAAAGAAAATAAATAAAACTTTGAAGAAGAAGGAAACAAATGTTGTGGCCCGACGAAGAATTGTCAATAGCAGTAGAAGTGAGTAATAGTAATGTCCAATACTTGGGTTGCTTGATTGCATCTAATTGTTAATAAATAATATTAAATTAGAATTTCCCAACAAATAATAAATGAAATAGTTTCCTAGATAGTTAAAAAGAAGAAGAAGAAGTTTAATGCCTTGCAAAGAAGTATTGCTATAAGAATAGATCTGTCTTCTGATAAGATAAAGAAGAAGAAGAAAAAGAAGAAAGAGGAAGAAGAAGAAGACTGCTTTAGGTCAATCACTTTCCTCGATCTCTAAATGGATACTTATCCGATCCACAAGTCTTGAGAACGTATGAGATTGAGTACAATAACCGCCCACACTTATCGGCACGGCGCAACATGATAATAATAACTAGTACTCTCAGTCGTGTGAGGTCCTTTTATGTGAACACGTGAGTACGCAGTTACAGCCATTACACACGGATCAAAGAAATACACCTGGGTTTTAAAGTAACAGAGATTCTTAACTTGTAACCAAAAAGGAGATTTATACGGAACGCGTTGACAGAAATATTAAACAGGATATGAAGGAATGTAGTCTAACAGTAAAAGCTTGGAGAACTTTACCAAAGCTTGTGAGATTTTATTTTATGAGAAGCGAACGGAATAAGAAATAGACAGGCAAATGTTATATATTATTTTAGCCTTGTGATCTCGACTTAAGCAAGAGTAACTGTAGTGTCGTTCTGGCTGCTGTGGAGATGTGAAGTGAGTATCTGCAAATTCTCTTTTGAAATTGCTACCGTAAAGATTAACGCTCAGGGTCTTAAAGCGCTACTATTCAGATGCGAATCAAACAGAAATCAGTTCTAGAAAGCCATCTCTACTGTATAAAACTGTTTTATCTGGGTACGCTACACTTACGAAGTAGCCTGCTGTTCCGTTGCTACGCCTGGCACATCTCATATTCGCGTACGTTATTCTACTTATGAAACAAATTATAAACACCATATTCATTCCAACCAGTGCCATACATGGACACTATCTAAAGCCCATGTACGCAAAATCACCACTTGCGAGATGAGATGCCTGAGAAAAGCCGCCAACTCAGTCATCCGAGGTCCAGTGAATAATAATACTATCAGACAAATTATGGAAACGATAACTTTTACTACATTAATCGAGAGAGAGCAGATCACATGGTTTGGCCATGTCGTTAAAATACAGAAAGATCAAATACCATGACAGGCACTACATCTCATAAGATCGGCTACAAGATCAAGAGGACGGCTACCACAAAAGTGGATCGACGACATTAATGACACTCTACGCCCTCACGGCATGACAATAGCCAGTGCCAACCAGCATGCACTGGATCGAAAATTATTCCTCCCCACCGCGCTTAACCGCAAAATGTTGCCTTTGATGATGATTGTGATTCTACTTATACTGTATTTAGTAAAACTAAACATATCACTGCTGGTCCCAAGTCCAAAACTCATTCACGATGGACTATGTCTTTAGGTAAGTTGTACCCCACCAGGACATCACACAAGCGATAAACAACAGGTGACACAAAGTGGCACCACGCGGATGAGGATCACCCGTGGAGAGGTCCCGGAAAACTCTTTCAGCCGTTAGGCCATATTTATATCTGGCTATATTTAGAGGCTCCCGGCGAATGCCAGGGTGGGGTTTCCAAATAACTAAAAATTGCATCCCTCATGGTGATGACGAGATTGTAAGGCAGCCTGCAGACCTGGAATTTCAATTACCTACACAAAATGAGTACATTGGTTATTTTTTTGCATGTCAGGCTTTTAACTGTAGTGGACTTCCGCGTCCATTATAGTTTCATATGGCATTTCC